AAATCATACGAAATCGACACCCAGATCTCGTCTCTAGGCCATATTTAGTTTTTAAAAAAATGTTACAATAAATCACCCCCACCCCCTCTAAAATCTACCCACACGGAAAATGTCAAGTGTTCTTCGGGTCAAATCGTTTAAATTGCTCTAAGGAACAACTGTACCAAGTGGCACCTTGGTATAAAAAAATGCAGTATCTTTCAAGAATTTCCGTTATACCGCTAGTACTAGTAGTATTAACTTTCGGTCTGTTTCGTAACAAAAGTGGGACATCCATCGATTTTCAGATCATTTGGCTAATAATACTTTGGTCAATATAAATGCATATGGATCAGTTCGTGGGCATCGAGCTATCGAGTTTAGATTTTTTGCCAAGAAAATTGGTGCCTAAATACTTAAGGATTTAGACCGATTTTAGACAACAAGGTGATGGATACCAAAGTTAATTTTTAATTGTTGCACATCTGGAACCATAAGCTTTCATGTAGTGAGATAGGAAGGAATGATGACCTACGACTCCTTCAGTAACTTTTTCAATATTCATTTCTACACAATCATCTGATTGACATTTACAGTTCCAACATTGGAACTTAATAATATGAATGTATGGTACACTATATTTTCGCGACGGTACTCCAACAAAGTTTTCATATTGATGGAGTAGTTAGTGGATCGAAAAATTGTCGCATCTTACGAACAGTCCCCTATTTGAACTTAATACAGCAACATTGATTGGTACATAAGCATTGTGTGGGTTATTATGTGCAATGAAAACTAAAACATGCAGCTTTAAAAAATAGTGTGTGAGTCGTATGACCTAAATAGAAAAGTGTTACTTGCATTCTCCTACAGAACTGTATTCGCGTAGATGTATTTTCAATAAGGTCCCTAAAGAGATTGGATTCTAAGGAACTTGAAAACTTAGCTGTTTCCAAGAAAATTCACTACAATCTCGATGCTTAGAAGCCTTATAGATTTCCGGCCGTGAAGTTAGGAAAAGAATTTCAGAACTAGATATTTAACTATAATTTTGGCGTTTTCGGCTATTAACCAATTCAAAGAGTCAAAACTTACCTATTTGTTTAATGAATCGTGTTTACGGCAAACGTTTAAATCAAAAAATTTGAAAAGAATACCTAAAAAACCATGATATCGAGAAGCTAGATTTTCTTTCGAAACGGGTTACACGATTGGTTTCTGCATACGAGTATATCGATGTCGATTTGTGCCATAGATAAATGAAATCGAGAAAAATCTGATGGAAAATCGCCAATATCGAGGTAATAAATGTCACGTTATTTGTCGGTCTGCAATGGCTTCTAATTGATTGGGCGCACAAGTGCTCTGTCTGTTTGAAAAGGTTTTTTAGCCAATCCCTTACGACTTTTCAACCCACTTTACTCATTTTCATAAAGCAAATGATTCAAAGGCATATTTCATACTTAATACATAACAAGACGATTAACAACTGTTCAAAGACATACGCAGAAAACTTACTTTTTAAATTCAACTTTTTTTCGACAAAATAGATTCTACAATAATGAATCCTATGTTTAATTAACTTTTTATAGAAAGTGGAACAAAGATTATGCAAAACGTTGCCATATTTAAATTATTACTCGGGTGTCCTTCGAAAACTGTCATAAATTGGACATTTAAGAATGGTGAAAATATGTGCTAGATTGCACTTTTCATCCAGTATAATATTCGACATTGCACGCCATTGCTGTACACCATTGCCAAACCAACCCCCAACAAAAAAAAATCTTTTTTGATTTGTTCGTAGATGGCCCCTATGTTTGACGCCGCGGAAGGATTTCATTTGTTTTTTGGATAGTGGAAACAGTTTCTATTTTACTGCGAAATTGGAGGTATCTCGTGGATTTCGCGGGCGATAACGATTGCCAGATGAGTGATTCAATTCATTTGCAAATTTCTAAGTGCCCACTACGATAGTTCAATTTTTGAACAATAGTTCACGGCATCAATCGTCACCTTTTGTTGAAATTTTCAATTAAATTTCTCCGTTACTTCATTTCTTCCCCAAGCAATTTACAAAAAAAAAAGAAAGATGAGTCTGGTTATCCCTCAAATGGAAACGGAAGGTTATTGCAATAATCACGAATACCTTATTTATTATGTGCTTTTTTAAATTGTACTTATTTCTAGCCCATGGAAAAAAGTGACAAAAAGTGAGTCTTTAAGTGAAATGGAAACGAATTTTTATAACAAAAATTTTACCAATAAATCAAAAAATTTTTTCCAAATTCTGCTATTTTTGGTTTTTTTTTCTTTTCCAACCTGTAAAACTATTGGCATGAAACTGAAAAAATGCATTTATTTTATAAATTATTTTTTATATGTCAAAAATTTTGCAAAATAGTAAAAAATAGCACTTTAAGCATTTAAATGCAAAATGGCCATAAACAAAAATGTTTTTCACTAATGGAAAGATTAAATAACTCTTTTTTATTGGGAATTCAATTAAAGATTTGTGATTTTTCAAACATCCCGAAAAAAATTTGGCTGGCATTTTTGGTAACCATATCCTAGGCTCTTCTTTTTGGTGCAATCTAAAGAGAATGTGCTGGAGTTTTTAAATCTAATTTTCAGGATTTGGAGATACAGAAAATAACAAAACCAAAATTTTTTTCAGCAGTCCCAATTCTGAACTATTCGTCTATTGGACCGTTTATCAATTTAAAGGAAAAAGGATTTGAATGGATTCGTCAAGGACAAGTTTAATTTTTTTTATGGGGCATTATTAAAAAAATGCATCCCAACATTATTGCCCACAAAGAATAAGGAGAATTATCTAATCTCAAATTTGTAAAAAGTACGAAAAGGTTTAACAAAACCATTATTGTTCTGAATTCAACATTAACGTTTTTTCATTAAACTTAAAAAAAATTGTTTAATTAACATTATAATCTAGGTAAAATGCCATAAATACGAGTACTCGACTCTATTCATTTATAATTTTGGTATCGATTGTGGCGATGCTCGGCTTCAGTGACAACAAGAAAAAAATCGATATCGATATTGATCGATATAAGTCGATATCGATATCGATGTTATCGATATCGAATATACACGATATAATATTATCGATATATCGATATCCTATCGATATATACTATCGATAAGTATCGATACCTATCGATATGTCGATAACTATTGATATATCGATATGTCGATAACTATTGATATATCGATATGTCGATAATATATATGTATATTGTATGAGATTTCAACGAGCGCTACTATTTTTATTAATAAAATCCATTTTCGGGTTTACTCTCGTGTAAATTTACTATTTTTAGTTGCTCGACGTTTCGGAAACTTCACTTTGCTCCCTTCTCAAGAGAAGCGCTACGTCACATCATCATCCATGCCAAATAAACGCAGTAATAAAATCTTTAGAAAATAGATCTTTTCGTCTTACTGACGATTGCTCAAAAAAAGAAGCACTTCAAAAACTTGAACAAAATGTTGCATCAAAATGGCTACTCTTTAGATAAAATAAAGAAGACAATCAAAGGGTGTAATCATGGCCTATGTATCGGTACCTGATTGATGGTTACAGAGGACCAGTCACAAAAAAACAGAAAAAGCTAAGAACACTTCAAATTTAGATATACAGTTTCAATTGATTGACATTTACGAAATCTAACAAAAAACTCTTGATAAAGGTAGCAAAGAAACGTCGAGTAACTATTAATAGTCACTTTACACGAGAATAAACCGGAAAATGGATTTTATTAATAAAACTCGATAAGATAACTATCCCTGTCGATAACTATCGATACGTCGAATATTTCTCTCAAATGAGGCGTGCAATTACCGCTTAATTACAGCGGTAGTTGCATTGTAGAAAGCTAAAGAGCCCTGCGATAATTGCACATTTAATATGGTAACTCCATTAAAGTTGCAAGAACTGCATTGGGTTATTTTCATATTTTGTTAAAAGAGCCCTCTTGTCTTGTCGGGCTCTTTCGCCAAAATATAAAAGTAAACTCATGCAGTTTTTAGACACGCTTTCAAAAAAATTATCGGTAATATTATATCGATACCTATATATTAAAAACTATCGCCATAACGAGAACTATCGATATACCGAAACTTATCGATATAGCGGCAGTTATCGATCTTTCGATAGTTATCGGTGTATCGATAACCATCGATATTTCGATAATTATCGGCATATCGATAAGTAAAATATATCGATAGGTAAGTACCCGATACTTATATCGATGGGTGAAAACAGTTATCGCCCATCCCTAATTATGAGGGTGTGTCCCACGCCACCTCTGACCGCACAATACATTTTGAAACACAATTTTGCTTGCCCAAATCTCATTTCAAAAATTAACCTTGTGTAAATTTTTCGAATGTTCACTTCGAAGGAAGAGTCCTTCTGAAGCAAATTAGACCGACTCCGTTCCCTTTGGTGCTAGGTATATAAAATTATTATGAGTAGAAAGAAATTAAACTGGTAGAAGTTACCGTTTTCATCGTTTACTAGTAGGTACGTGGTAATCTGAACGTTGTTGTAAGATTGCAAAAAAGGACCTTCAACGCATATATGCTCCAGATGTCTGAAAAATTAACCTCGAAGTCCCCGTTTTTATGCAACCAACGTAAATTAACAATAATTACAGGTCTTCGATAGATGCTGTTTTTTGGCAAAACAAGACAAGGCAAAAAATGACCGCCGGTATTGAGATTCGCTGTAAACATTGAATAAAAACACTATTTTTATTCAATGCTGTAAATCAGTTCTCTTGTCCTTTTTTATCCTCGTTCATGCAGGAAGTGCATAAAAGTATTTTCTAATTAAAATCCAAATACCTCTGCAAGTAATGTAAAATAAAAGGACGTTTGCGTACAGCCTTCAAATAATACATCATGTCCGAAAGTGCCTATGAAACCTAACGCACGCCGTAGCGTATATTAATGGCGGAATTACAGTGGAGTTAATTAAAAGTCAAAATATCAATTATAAATAGATACCTTTACAAACCAGTCTGGCCGAATGATGGATCACAGCGCAATTTTTCCATAGATCTTACCTGCAAGTGAAAGAAAAACATCTTAAGTGTGTTATATTCCATATAAATGAGAACGAAAATAAAAAAAAACACGCCATAAATTATGTAAGTTACCGTAAAGTGTAATTAACAAAAGCATAAATAATGGATATAACAGCGTGTCATGAGATTTTCCATTGTTTTTAAAGTCCGACTCAATTTTGACGGATAATTTAATTACCGCGACGACGTTGAGTAAATGTACCATCGACAATTAAAAAAAAACGCCCTGTAAAAAAGGCGGAAATTTCCCATTCGGGCGATAATCAACCTTGCAATCGATTACATTCATTTCATGAGATCATGAAACTCTCGATGCAACACACCTGAATTCGTGAAGAATATTGTTTGATGCATTATTGCGGTAGGCCTTGTATGCAACCCTGATTAACGGCGTCATTGCAGGTCAGGAATGCTATTCATCTGTCTGTATACCAAAATTGGAAATTGCAATAAATGTATCGTAATTATTTTGCCCGATTGGGATTATTTTAATATAACTGCTTCCCCAGTTCACCACACCCCAATTTGTTATTTTTCTAGTCAATATTTGGAAAAATGAAATTTTTAGGACTAGAATATACCTACCAAGTTATCTTTATTTTTTCTGATTAGTTGAGACACAGTTCCAAAAATAGGGGGTTGCCATTAAAAAAATTTAGTTTTAACGATTTCTTTAATTCAATTTTTAATGTTAGTTCTTGAACTCGGATTTACCTACTTTCACCCAAATTCGCCATGAAATGTTCATTTTCATGCCTACTTTATGTGAGGAAATTTTATTTCCATGATACTTTACTTTTACATGATTACTTTTCCTGTCGCCTGTCACTTTTCCGGCCGCATTTGTCGCCTTGGGTCGCCTTGAAATTTTATATATTACAATACGATTTCGGGTAAAATTTGATACAAAAGTCGTCAACTTGACTCGGAAGTTAAAGCCTCTCGCTAGTAATGTGTCATTTGTCTGACTTTTATGTAAATAACTTCGTAAATAACTAATCATCAAAATATCATAAGAGGAAACGAAACTCCAAACGTGATTTTTGACATAAAAATAAGAATATATTATAAACGGCAAACTTTAGAGACCGCAAATTAGACACAATATAGGTATATACAGGGTGGTGCCTAGCGCGACGCAGCATAGGGATTTCAATGGTAATTTCGTTATAGTCAATTACTAGCTCCCCTAATTATTTTAGAGCAAAAGTCTAAATACGTTTTTTTTTAGAGAAAAATGCATCTGTTCATACTTTTAGTTATAATTTTCCATTTTTCAAAACCGTAGAAATCGACAAAATAAAAAATTACATTTTTATACATCAGTGATGCTTTGGAATCTTTTAACAAACTACAAGCGCATCGCATCTAAGTTATCGTTGTTTGACGTCGAATGATTTTCATATTTAATTCTGTTTCAACTAACCGACGCAATAAAAGGCATCTTAGGGTAATGTTTTTTAGAGAATGTATGCTGCATCTGCATCAGATACTATTTGTTTATCATTTTCCGGAATCAGAGTAGGTACCTACATAATCGAAGAAAAAAACTGATTTGAAGAAGATTTGTTCCTAAACTTATATTTGGATTTTCCGCTACTGCAGCCAAATCGTTCAATGTATTGTCGTTTTCCTGATGGTTTTGACGGACATTTTGAACGTTATTGCACTTGCAGTTCTTTAACTAATTTATAAACAAGTACAAATTTAATAAACGTCAAAACGTGATCGCTGTTTTTTTAGATAATTCCAACGCATATTTGATTTATTGTAAAATGAACATTTTTATTTTGGCGATTTCTATGGTTTTGAAAAACGGAAAATTATAAGTAATAGTATGAACAGATGCAGTATTATTTTCTCTAAAAAAAACCTATTTAGACTTTTGCTCTAAAATAATTAGGGGAGCTAGTAATGGACTATAAAGAAATTACCATTGAAATCCCTATGCTGCGTCGCGCTAGGCACCACCCGGTATGGAATTTTACGTAAAATCTAAAAATGAAATAATATACCTAGGTATAAAGTGTTCCGATTCAAAATAAACAAGTGGTCTAGTTATTAACATAGCAATGCTATAGCATCGAATTTGTAACACCCTGTATATTTCTAACAGTTCAAAAGCATTGGCCGATGTTAAATTACCATTACACTTCAAAAATTCCGTTAAACATTACCAACATGCCTGAAAGTTTGTACATCACACTTCTGGAGTCGACTACCTACTCGTTGAAAAAAGTATCATTGAAAACGTCGCCATCAGTCTGCATTCTCCTTCCTATCTTCATCGCTTTAACGTCAATTTGGGGGTAAATGTGAGGGAAAGGCGGTGTAGCTTCTGGAAGAAGCAGGCAAGGCGCTCCCAGTAACCTAGAGAGAGCTAAGCTCGGAAACATTGGTCCTAACCATCATATGCCGAAATAAAAACTCTCTTCAGCGCTAAGTGATACCTGATACCTGACTAGTCGTCTGTCAACCTCCTAGTGCTGCCCCCTAGGAACAATCTCAACACTCCTAACGGAACTTTGAGATTGGCGAATGACAGTAAGACGAACCAAATCGTCAAAGTGGAACAGCTGGCGGCGAGGACTGCATGACCAAGAGAGAGTTTGTACGTCAGTCAACGAACTTTGGGTACCGGGCGCCCCCCAATTTCAGGTAGCCTTTTGGTGGCAGGGGCAAGCTTCCAGTGACCGTTTAAAAGCCCAATGCTTGTGGGACCTTCATGTCCGACAAAGCCCGGTTCTACGATTCGGTTGGCAAGCAAAGCTGGCGTCATGGAGACGGTCCAGTGGTTGGAAAACCACGTCGCAACTGCGAAAGCTCAACATGAAGTTCGAAAGAAAAAGGATCTCCTAAAGCCTCACGTGTTTATGGCTCACTTTTAGGGAGAGGCGGGAGAGTCGACCGACCACATTTTAAAATGGTATACACAACCAAAATGCAGACATTAACGTAAAATCCTGCAAAGAAATCTACCGCAACGTGGTCCAAAACACCACGGTTGACAATACGTCGGTCAATTATCTAGACAAAAATCAGCGATTGGCTTACAAGCTCAGGCGAGTTCTGTTTCCTCGCAGACAGAAAAAGGCCGGGCAAAAACCAATCAAACCAAACCTACTGAGGACGCTGGGTACTCAAAGCCCAAAGAAACCTCGGAAGTAGCCTTCCCTCTTTCAGACTTCATTACAAAATCAGAACCAAATTTGATTAACGCCAGTTTAGAAATAAACTGCACAGCTGTTGTTTTCTCATCACACCGTTGAACTACAAATTTAAATAAACAAAGCGAATTCCGTGCTTAATTCAAAACCGACAACCAAATTTACACTTAAAAAAATTGATATTCCACATACAGGGTGACCCATTATTATTCTAGGTGCAAAGCCCAAACAAAACGTCTGCATGAGGTTGTTTACACAACAGGTTCCTGTCAAACAACCCCATATATTGTTTCGAAGATTACATTAACCTTGTTTTTTTAATTAGCTTATGCGATTAAGAAGTGGGCGAAGGTAGAGCCAATCTAAAAATCAGGTATTTTATTTTTATTTTTATTGTCTTGTTTTACAGTGGGTGACTGGCTAGTAGATTTTTTGACCCACATAATCCGCCGACTTATGCTTATAATTATTATTTATTTATATTATTGATTGAATTATTTATTTTATAACATAATCAAAACACACTATTTCCTAGCGAATCTGAATCAGTGAAGGACAATTTGAGCTTGAATTTTATGCGTGTCAACTTGAAGGAGAAGTAAATTCCTGCATTTTATTTTATAATCGAACCTTGTGTCCATGTATTCAACACAGAGAAACGTTATGAATAAATTTCGGTATCTTAGCAATGTCGAATTACAATCGATGCTCGCTCGCCAAAGTACCCAAACACACTCTACATGCAAATTGAAGCAACATAGTACGTAGGTCGAGTAAAGCACAATTTGTATTCGACAAGAGTACAAAATAATACTAATAATTATTACAAATTCAAATGAACAATTTGTGGGCGCAGTTTAAAAACATTGTATGCATATTAGAATGAGCCCACGTGGTTTAATGTGCCAATATTAAAAAAAACGCATCGCAAAACCGAAGGAAGGAAGGTGTTATCTTAAACAACTTCATTTTCAAGTCAATTCGACATCGTTAAAGTTTAATTAAGAAATAAGTAGGTAACCCAACCGTATGGCGTAAATGTATTTTCAGTTCAACCGCTCGAGAAGAAGAAATCGCGGAAGTTCAAAAAAGGTACACACCTGTGGATTCGCACGCGACATTTAACTATAAGCGAACTTATTTTCTTATTGTCTTTTTGATACGTCAAAAAAATGCTGTTAATAAATCTTAAATAGACGTTTTCAATTAGTTCGTGTCAATCAAAAGCGGATTGGAATTTTTCTTCTTATTGCCTTCGAAACTAAAATTTATCTTTGTCGAATTTTCTCTAACCTACAATTTTTTTTCGATCAATTTAAATGAGACACCTTCAATATTAATGATATTTTGGTCGAAATAAGCATAAAAACAAGACTAAACGTGGTAATTTGAAATCTGTTCTCCTTGGACAAAGTAGATTAATTATGGAACTCGATCAGTTTAAGTGGGAGTCTTTGCGTTGGAAAGTCAAAAAAACAGTTTGAAATTTATACGTCTTTCTGTTTTGTCACAAATCTCCGGACTACTAATTTAGTAATTTAATAAAAGGATGCTGCAAACTGCATTGGACTATGTACAATAAGCAACAAACCCGAAAAAAAATTACTTCACAAGCCAAAAAGAGCTAGAAATGTAAAGAACATTTTAGGCGCTATCAGATGTAATAACGACGAATCTTGAAAAGGGATCGTTATAAATTTAACTTTTATTTGAATCATCACTTTTTTGCTTTTATTTTTTAGATTAAATTCCTATTTACTTCCTTGTTTTGATGAACCCGATTAATGGACAAAAGTTTGTATGAGGGGAATG